CGTCTACTTATAGATCACTTTACACCTGATCTAAGTAGGACAAGAACACACCGATGGTCGCTGGTTCAGTCCCAGGTTTCCTCAGGTCCTTGGCATCGACACCAGGAAGCCTAGTTAGGGTCGAGTCAGAACCCTCCCATTTCACTAATAACATCAACACAATATGTAATTATGTATCACATTAATTACACTACTTGGTTGGTATTTCTCATAATTTTGCCCAGGCCAAACTAGTTTTCGCGATTTCCCGCACCCTCCTGTTTAGAGCCTGTTCCAAGTAGAATTGAAAAAAGACTAAAAATGGGGTGACAAATATTTCGTCCCATTTTCTACCCATTCTATGACCATGATTGATAGGACATAAATCATTAGATTACGATGCATGCTGATTGGTCAATAAAACAGTGTTGTTGGTGATGCGTAGAAAGGTGTGGCGGGTGTAGCGCAGGTGGCACGTGAACCATCCATCGTAGTATGTGCCGTCGGGCTTGACTTGCTGCCACGTGATACTGGTACGACAACAGTGTTGATGGCAGGGGCGCGGTTACTACGTCCGTCGATCGACATGACAGCGGCGCCAACGGCAGCAACGACAGCAACACACACGGCAGTGGTCGAGTCCATGATGTCAAATTGAAAGTTGGAGTGAGATATTGGGATCAATGATTGGATAGTGAGGCATCCATTATTAGCCAGTCATTGGGGAAATAGCTGAGTTGGCCAAAATGGGATGAAATGGGGTCATGTACCCCATTTTGAAAAATGGATTTTGGAATGAGTTGGGGGGATTTTTGATTGGATAATGCCCATTTTGAAAACTACTTACTGTTAGAACTGGCAACATTTCGAAGTCATTTTATTTCCATTTTAAATTAAGGCTTGTCCAACTTTTCATTCAAAATTATAAGGCCCTGGTCGGGGAACAACCCTGAACGAACCTGAACGAAAAACCCAGAATGACTTAATTTTGATGGGTTGATTTATCCGTATTCCGGTTGCGTCCAGGTTGACGTCGTTCAGGGTTGTCAATCTCTGGTTGGGAATGACAACCCTGAACTGGATGCAATTGATCGTGCAATTTAATTACTTTACATTCATCGGTTTTCACAATAACTATCATGTCCACTAATGTCCCATTTTCCAAGCGAAGCGTTTCAAAGAGACTGTAAAGGAACATAATTTAAGCTTGATCGTAGTAATATTCCCGTTCAGGGGTGAATAGTCGTCCAGGGTTTTTCCCCGACCAGGGCCTACAGTAATACGTTTTGCTGGTTTTGCCCAGGCGAAACTGGTTTTCGCGATTTCCCGCAGCATCCAGGCGAAATATCCGAATCTGGACAACAGATTATGCCCATGTATTATATATACACTGTTTTTTTTGTCAGTACCCGCCCGATTCAGGAGGCTGCGGGAAATGATCAACTTTACAATCCTCAAACGATATGGCAGTGCATAGTTCATCATCACCATACAACACGCTAGAATCAAATCGAGTTCAGCCTGAGGAAGAAAGCAACGTGCACTGCTTTTAATTGCCATTTTGAAAAATTGGCATCGTCCTCAATTGATTGCGCTGAGTTTCTTGGCTCCACACAAAACGGTTGCATAACTTTTAAAAATATGACATTTAAATGTTAGAAAATTATAACATAACATATCAATGTACTAGTATGCTATAAATTATAGCTCAAGTTGACAATAATTGTTTGTCATCTTTCAAGCTATATTTGAAGTTTTCGCCAAAATGTGTCTTTAATGTGCTGCTTCGTGGCTCAGAGATCACCGATCAACGCAAGAATATGGTAGATTGTACAGCAGCATTGTACTACGTCATAAAGTGGTATGGACGGTGTTACGATGCTTATTGCGGGATATAATCACACCCAAAGTAAGCTATATTTCAGTTTTTTGGCATGTTTGAGGTCACTTCACCATGCTAAATAAGTGCAATCGCCACACATCACGTCTCGTTATATAGCCGCAGCCATCTCTTCAGTTTTCATATTAAATGTATCATGCCCAGGCAAGCCGTTGCTGAGAAACTCAACGACAAAGTCAAGTACTTTCTCGATAGCTAACATTGTCATAAATTATGACAAACATTGATGTTAACTTATGTTAACTTGATGCTATATTTCGATGTTATTTTTTAAAATTATGACATCCTTATTTTATATTAATAATACGTAACGGTATTCTCGTGGAATGTAGTGGATAATTTCCCAAAAAGCATCGTAACTGGCGGCCAAAATTTGAAGTCCATACAGTAAGTATACGTTTTGAACAGCGGATTGGAATACAAATTCGCATTGCACTAACAATCGACTCCTTCGTCTAGACATACATTCATCCTCGCTTATGTCGCCAAGGATGGCTATGTTCGTCATTTCCCGCAGCCTCCAGTAGGAATGAATCCGCAACAGTATTGTCAAATTCGTTAGAGATCGCATGCGTTGACGTGTGGGCTACGTTGTGTAAATGCTTCCACAGCCATATGGAAATAAATACTAGTACAGGATAGCTTAGGTATATTAGTACGCGGTGTATGGACTTAATGTTAATGGTAACCCGAAACTCGAATGTGCATTATCTACTTCACATACAGTGTAGCGGTCGGAGATTTGAGCATATGGTGAAAACGATGGAACGAATGATTAATTCGATGAACTGCATAGCATTCACTCAACGACAGAAATGGAGGGTAAATGTATAATTAAACATCAGCTTTACCGTCAGCAACTGTATCACCATTCGAAACGTGTAAGGGCATCCCCACCAGTAAGTTTATATAATCAGACTGTAAAATACCGTTTTACAGTTCCTGTATTTTGATTTTCGTCAATCCCAGCGGTAAAACGGTAAAAAATCCGCATAATTATCACAACATTATCCGGAAATGAACATGGAGGCATTACAGTAGTTTGCTTTGGACGACGATGATGATGTGGAATTCACACTTTTGAGATACTTGACCACCTTCCCGCCCTATATAGTCAATAGTAGGCCGCCATTTCAACCTGCACCTGGATAGTCGGGCTGAAGATGCTCGATTATGTTGTGACTGCTGTATTTCAGTCTCACAAGTCAATTTACAGAATGGGGAGCAAAGCTCACCAGCGCTTTAGTTGGACAAGGTCGTTATACTGCAGGTATATGGACTCACCATGGAGACGATGCGGTTGAGAATGACGACTGCTCTAAGCAACGGGTTGATGGAAGTAAGGAAAATCGGTCATTCACAGCTGAGAACTTGTGTCACTGCTCAGCGAAGGTTGTCTTTGGTTGGGCTGCCGATGCACTCGACGAGTTTAGTGAAGTTTTAGCAACGAGCGCGATTGAAGGATCCATTTTCTCAAAGGAAAGTGATTATTGGCTTTCCGTCAACCACAGGGCACCGATGATTGGACAAAATTATCCATTGATAACATGTTATTGGCTCATTCGTCAAAACTGTATTTTACAGTCGCAACTGTAAATCTGGCCGATTTGCAGTCTCGCGGTAAAATTATACAGTTTCCTGTGTTTTACAGTCGCCCGATGGGGTTGTCAAAAGTGTAAATAATCCGGATAGAACTGTAAATGGGGATGCTCTAAATGAACAAGAGGTCTATTCGAGCGGGCTAACTTGACGAAGGGTTAGCATTACATGACAGCGGTTTTGACTCCAACAAATAACGATGTGTGATTGGGCAATACAAAGTTATCCTAAATTGGTTAACATGTAAATGTGTGTAAACTGTTTTTTTACGTTAACCCGCTAGGACGGGAGTAAAAGCTTAGTTCAAGTATACTTAAGAATGATCTTGCTTACTGTTAACACTATGCAATTCTGCAAATGAGAGATTTTCTCATCCCTAGCTTCAAGTTAAGACCTAATAAAATACTCAGAATCAATATCCTTATTCCCCCAATCTGCAAATGAGAGTTTCTCTCATTTGAAGGGGCCAATAGAAACCCAGTAAATCGAAATATTTGTAATTGTACAATGCCATTGGCTTAAGTATACGAATTTACTCGAGTATGATTGGCTCTACTGCAAATGAGAGTATCTCTCATTTGGAAAACCTCCCATCCGACCAGGTTAACGTTACCGTATTTTTCGTTGATCTGCACCATGAAGTATAAAAAGTGACATTTATACAATATAAGTATAAAAATTAAATGTCAATTACTCCGTAGTTCTATTAATATTATACAATTGGAATGCTGTAAATAAATTGTTTAAATTTAATCATTTGATGCAAAGGTACGACAAATACACATTGTTGCCATGACAAAGGTACGATGATTCATGCATTTTTTGGTCAGCTTGGTCTACTTTCTGAGTCATGAGCTTTACAACACAATTTGATTGGCGTATTTCTAAAAATCGTAATTCCTGTGTGAATTTAATTCTCGGCCAGTAATGTTAAATCAATTGAATAATGTACGATGGATTTGTGTGAGATCATCAGAACCTCTTAATTGTAATGTATACTAATTAGTATACAATTATCGAAGTCGTTCACTGTCAATTTAGAAATAGATAATATTGGCACTATACCAGGTAAGGCGTGTCGCATGAGTGCAATATTGAATCTCATCCATCCTAGTGGGTTAATTTCGACTAATCATTATCATTGGAGATTGTGATTGGTCATTTGCTGGCCAGGATTAACTGTACGGGTAGTACTATTAATACTCCGAGTAGTAGATTCTACCCTGGAATTGCACGAATAATCGAAACAGTGTTCAACGTTCTGATGTGAATGTAACGCAACAGCTAATGTTACTTCGAAAAAGATCAGGTGATAATAGTCCTGATTTGATTAAGGGGAAACCTAATTTCGACGAATCGTGTTGCAAACCACTCGTTCCAAGAATTATTTTGAGCGAAAAATAGACTTGTCATACTTTGAACAAATATAAAATTGCCGCCTAATTGTATACCGTAGAATATCACTGAACTCCAAGCCATCCTATTTGAACAGAATTGGAGGCCTTTTCTAGGATTGGCAACACAGTTTGAAACCTATAGAGCACGATGCGTGCACTTCAACGGAGCTTCACCGCAGGCAATGACATGCCCAAGCAGCAGCCGGGAAGCTACCGCACATCATCTTCGTCCTCCACTCACAGCCAAGAGATGAACCCATACCAACTTTTGCTCGATGCCGTAGAACGGTCCGACGCCACCACGGTGGAGCGTCTGCTGCACAAGGGCTTTCAACCCGCGACACAGGATATCAACATGTCCATTCTGTCTGCTGCTTGTTTATCAGGATCGTACGACGTGTTCGAGCAGTTGGTGACCCAAGGGTGGCTGGTCTTCGCAGCAATTTTGTCGGAAACGGCCACGACGCCGATCCTGTTTGAATTGGTCAACTTGGCCACCCAAGGCGGCAACATCCAAATCATCACAGGTCTGTGCCGCGTCGGCGGCATCACGGTGGACGAGGTGGTGGAGCACGTGCGGGGCCCGAGCGGCGTCAAAGTCATCACCCCGCTCTTGATCGCGGCCATCAACGGCGACGACGCCATGGTCCACTTCCTCGTGGACGGCGGCGTCGACATCAACATGGGCATGACCAAGGAAGGCAACTCGCCGCTGGGCATGGCAACGATCCACGGCCACATTTCGGTCGTCGAGGTGCTGCTCGAGTCGGGCGCGAACTCCCATCACACCAACCTCAAAGGCGAGTCCGTGTACGCCCTGGCTGCCGCGTACGGCCACGCCAACATCCTGTGCTTGCTACTGCACGAAGAAGGCGACAGGGGGGACGCCATGAAGCTGGGAGACGTGGACGAATCATCCATGAAGCGAACGATCCACAACATCCGAAAAGGCAAGAGCCACACACATTACTCGCTGCAAGAGCGTGGCGGTCACGTTGACGTGACCAAGCTTAAGCGACGCATCACCAACCTCAAAAAAAGAGTCAACGGCCGCGTGGAAGCCGACTTGTACGAGTTGCGGTCCAGTTCTTCGCTGGGCGAAGAATCGTTTTAAATACGTTTGCTTACATCGTACAAAATCCTCGTGATGACTACAGTAGTAGTAGTACTACTACTATTTACCAGTCCACAGTCGACATCCTTGGTCTAAGCTGTGAATATGTACTACGGGGAGAGGGAGTTGGAGTACATACAAACGGAATCGATGATCATGGCAGGAGGGATAAACGTCAAGGGGACGGCGACGACGGCAACGATCGAAGGCGAATGATGGCCAACACCTTTTCGTCGGAGATGCTGCCACAGCGTTTCGCTTCTTCGTACACCTCGGCGAGCACATGCTCGTTGTCGAACAAGAGCAGCTTTGTCGATGTCTTTAGCGCGTCGAAGTTTCGAGTAGGCGTGGTGTGGGCTTGACCTTGTGAACTACTTGTCTGCACGTCGTGTGGACGAGTGTGCTTGGCAATCGCTTGGAGTACATCTGCATCGGAAATGACCCCTCGCTCTTGAGCCATCTTGTAAACATGGGCGACCATGTGTTCGTGTTCAAGCAGCAAGAGGATGGTAGACTTCTTCAGTGGTCCGAACTTGCTCAAGGATGACGCTAGTGTTGTCGACGGCGGCGATGGGAACGTGTTGGTGGAATCCCTCGACATGATTTTTCTACTAGTAACCTGTTTGTGCTGTGAAGAGTCGGGCTGCTTGATGGTCAATCCTGATTGGTGGATTGGGCTTGTTTCAAATGCACGTTCTGAATGAACTTCGAAGTACTATTATAGTACTACTACGTAGTACATAGTAAGTACATATTACTGGTACAGTGTATTGTCAAGTGTACTGTATTGCATGGAACTTCACAGTTACAGTACAGTACAGTACTACTAGTACTGTATCACAAAAATATTTTCTGTCTGATACTTTTGAATTGGAAAGTGGCTGGTTGAAATCCTAATACTGTATATAATGGATTTGTCAATAGGAACGAAGCACACCCATCCTTTTGCCAATCAGAGATCTGGAAGTATCCCATCTGAAACTGCTTGCAAGATTTGCAAAACAGAGGCAGTACTAGTACGTACTAGTAGTACTATAGTACTCCTTATACTATTAATAGTACTGTACTGTACTTATTCACAGTCAAGTGCACTGTTTATTTTCAGTCATAAAACTCCATACACTATTTAGAGTTTGATACTTGGTGTCCTCCAATCAAATCTTGCGCATGGGTTCTTTCAAATTGCATGATGCGAGCAACGTCCTCCGCCGCACCGCTTCGCCGATCTGCTCGGCTGCTGAGCGCCACGACACCATCCAAGACTCCTTCTATACTTAAGGAAGTGAAGAATGCTACCACCGTTGTTCGAGCCTCGACGAAGAAGCCAAGAGCAGCACCAGTCCTGTCGAAGTCCAAAACCGTCACTGCAACTCAAGCAGGCGAGGTGGCACCGGTGACGTTCAAGCGAGGCACGCTGTCACGCGAGTTCGAACAGCGCATCTACAAAAAAGGGTTTTCATGTGTGGTGGGTGTTGATGAAGCAGGTCGCGGTCCATTGGCCGGTCCTGTGGTCGCAGCAGCATGCTGGATTCCTCTGGAGGTCGAGATCGACGGCATCCACGACAGCAAACAGCTCAACGAAGCTCAGCGAGACCTGCTGTTTGAGAAATTGACCACGCATCCAGGCATTCAATATGCAGTCCATGTACGTATCCCGTCGGAACGTGACTTCATACTTACGAAAAAGAATATCCCAATGCAGGTGAATAGCCATACCCGCATTGACGAAATCAACGTCCTGCAGGTCACTTGCCCATGGCCAACACTATCTTCAGATCAAATGCCAATGGAAAGAAAATTCCCTAGGCAACGTTGGAGTCCATGACCAAGTCCGTGGAGGCGCTGACCGTGCAAGCCGACTACGCATTGATCGATGGCAACAAGATGCCGCCTCTGTCTATCCAAGGCGAGTGTGTCATCAAGGGCGACAGCAAAGTGTATGCAATTGCCGCCGCTTCCATCATTGCCAAGGTATGTTCGTGAACTGGTCGATTGGCCGAATAACGTGGTAAGGACTGCCTAGGTCACTCGAGACCGCCTCATGGTCGTGTACGACAAGCAGTGGCCAGAGTACGGGTTTGCCCAGCACAAGGGATATGGCACCAGGTAACAAACTCCCTAAGTCCCTAGAGTGATACTAAGGAACTCGACGTAGGATGCACATGGCTGCGATTCACAAGCACGGCGCGACTCCCATCCATCGCATGACGTTTGCGCCGTTAAACCAATTGGAATGACCATCATTGTTGGTCCTACCCTAGACACATAATGTATGTGGCGATTTGCAGTTAGAACTGTACTACGCAGTAAATGATTGGGCAAAAATGGTCATCCGGATACAAAACTGTAGCACGGTTGTACTTTTATCCAGATTACTCAAATGGTTGACACGACGACAAAGATGAGGGGTATTCCACCACGATGGAGCGTGGTTGGGTCGACAGTGGACGGGCGGCGCACGCTATGCGAAAGCCTCGCACTTCGATATGGAGTTGTGCATGTGACTGCGGACATGTTGTTTCCTACAAGTGATGGAAGCGACGGTACTACTATCCGTACCATTCAACTGAGTCGACTCCATGCCGCCGACTGTGCTGGCCGCGGTTGGGTTCTCGATGGATTTCCGCAAACGCTCGAGCAAGCAACGGCGCTTGTCACGGAGGACCTCGTTCCGCACATGGTGTTTGACTTGTTTGTGGATGTCGCGTCGGAGATGGCCGCCGTACTTCATGTGCTGACTCAACATCCCTCCACCACGACGACCACACCCATTCCCACCGTCGTGCCCATCACTCTATCGTCAGAGTCTTCAGACACGGCGGCATCTTCCATCCATCGCGCCATCGACACAAGCATATGGACATCCCAATTGCACGCAACAGTGCCTACTCTCGCGACTGACCATCCCGAGGCGGTGGCCGACATCGCTCAAGGGACCGCCTCACTTCCAGTGACCGACCAAGCCGCTGCCATGCATCTGCTGACGTCGTTGCTGCAACCCAATTCCACAGGACTGGCTGATTTCGCTGCAGACCGCGGCCACAGCGTGGCGGCGCTACTTGGCGTGTACACTTCGCTGACCAAGGCCACCCAGGCGGTGCTGACCAGTCGCCTCCCGCCAGAGGTCGTCGCCATGCTGCCGTTCGTCGAGACGCTGTCCCCCAACGCGCTGGCGGCGATGGCTCCCCTGGCTCAAGAGCTCCTCCACGAAGCCACGTCCTCGTCGATCCAGCCCGCGACCGCCGTCAAGCTCCACACAGCCTTCTTTGACGTGCTGTCCGACAAGGAGCGGCGCCAACTCGTCCGGATGCTGCCGCCCAAGGAGCAGGAACTGGTCACACACGTCGTGGAAACCACCGAGGGCATGTCCCCTCGGGGCATCGAGACCGTCGTGCACATGTTGCTTCAATCGACATCGACGCCGCTGTCGGTTGCCATCTCCACCAAGAGCGTGTCGGCATCTTCGTTGTCCCAGTCATATAGTACGGACGTTGGCCCGGACTCTCAACATCCCGAGCCTACCTACGGTACGCCCCCTTTTCTTCTTCTTTTTGAGAACATGCCGCTCGATGCATATGTAGTAGCTAGCATCTATACCACATTCCTTTCAATTCAACCAACCATATACAAGTTTCATTTGCTGAGTCTCTTGTCATGTCCGTTGCGGTGTAGGTACCATCCCAGCCTCCGACATATCGCCGCCTCCTTCCCGCGATGCCATGATGACCAAGCTAGCCCTCACAGCGACCAAAGCCCACGGCCGTCGGCTGCTTCGGTGGGTCCGCCGCGCCCCCCGCAGTCTCCGCGTCCTTTTGTTCGTGTCGTCCGTCCTCGTCGCCTTGACGGCACTCGTGTCCATCGTGCTGAATCTCGTGTCGGGCCAGCTCGTGCTCGTCGTCGCCAGCGGTTGGGTCGTCTTCTTTTCGCTGCTGATCGTGTCGTTGGAAGTGAAAATTTCAGCTGTGGAGAAGCACAACGCGGTGGCGGCGCACTTCCCCCTCGTCGGGACCGTCCCCGGCCGCGGCGCCTTCTTGCTCTTCGTGTCCATGCTGGCCATGACACTGGCCGTGCAAGCCACGTGGCAGAACGCCGTGCTCGGCGCCGCGGGGTTCCTTTCGGCGCTCGTGAGCCTCTGGGCCATCGCGCTCGGCAGCCTCGCGTCCCACCAGTTCAACGTCATGCGCACCCGCATCGAATCGGCCGCCGACCTCCGCCGGCTCTTTGACACTGCCGACGTCGACAACGCGCAAGAGCTAGACATCGACGGACTCGCGCGATTCTGCGTTGCATGCGACTGGCCGATTGGCGTGGTCTTGCTCGAGTCTGTCCTGCGAGACCTCGATATCGACAACTCCAACACCGTGTCCTTCTCAGACTTGCACTTGTGGTGGTCTCAAGCCCAACTGGACATCACTAGTAGCATCAGGGTACGCCCCATGTATGTATGTGAATGGCCATTGCTACACATATGGATGTTCTGACAACACTCACTAGCATGTGTAGCCCCTTCCCCCCATCACGAATATCGTCCCATCAAGTCATGACAAACCAATGTCGGTCCTGAAACTGGTCAATATCTTCATGGGGGTGCTCACAGTCGCCACTGGAGTCGTGGGTAACGTCGCTGCCTTCCACGACAGGTATGGTCGTGTTTTACCCCAATTTTGGTCGTGTTTTACCCCAATTTTGGACTCTTATGGCCTGTGGTTGCTATCACACTAAATGAAGTCACACACTAATTAAACGTTGATGATGGTTTCCTGCCATGTGATTGGCTCAATTCTTCTGTAACGTTCATTTGTCAATGTTCATTCTCCATATCGCTCTCCAGTTTAGAATATATAAACACTCCACAATACGCGTTCTTGTCGTTCAAAGTCCTATAATATTTTTATTGCATATCCTTACTCCACTATTAGACGTGAATCCACAACAGATGGCAAAGCTGCCGTGTACATGATCCTGGACTTGTGGGTGGTGGTATTTGGCTTGGTGCTGGTCCTCATCGAAGCCCCTCGATCGCAAACATCATCGTGGCAAGTGCTCACAGACTGCAAGCGCTTCGTCGTCGACAACATCGCCACATTTCTTGACTCGATCTTTGGCCGGAGTTTGCTGTACTTGTTTACCGGCACGTTCACGTTGTCCGTGTACCAGCACGACTCGGTCTACTTGCCGGTGGTCACGGGGTCGGGGCTGGTGGTGCTGTCGGTTGTGAACGCGTGCGTGGGTCGCCGTGCCAAAGCCTCCTTCCTCGCCCTCGCCAAGACGGTGGACGTATCGAACTGCGCCTTCCTCTTCGCGGCCGCCGACGAGGACGGCGACGGCGTCTGGAGCTTGGACGAGCTCGATGCGTTTTGCACTGGCCAACACATTCGGCTAAGCGCGGCGGAGTGGGAACTCCTTGTCGCAGATCTGGACAAACACCACGCCGGCGTCATCTCCCTGCACGAGTTCACGACGTGGGTGGAGCTGCAGCACCAGCGCATGGATTTCGTTTAGAAGACTTTTATAATGATCCATTTTAACCCTACCGGGATACCAGTCTTGAGCTTCGTTAATAGGCTGATGATGACACTAACGTTCGTGTGTGCGTTAATAACGTCAGCTCGACAATTCACTGGAAGGATACTACTGTATGCCCTGTCACATATATGCTATATGAGGCGGCGGCTAGACGGCCAAAGCATGGACGGATGTACAGTAGTTTTGTGTTGTGTGGACAGTAGCCACTGGACTTAGCTAGAAACATGTACGTACAGGTTCTGTTATTGTAGAATGTGTCGTGAGGAGTGGTTCGGTCAATAGTGTGATATATGATTGTAAGTTAACTTTACGTACATGTATTGAACCAATTATTAAATCTATATTTTCAAAATATTACGTATAAAACATTAATTAGCTGGAACTTCTTTTAAGTACTGTCTTTTTCTTCATAAAAATAATAATATAAAAGAATGCTACAATTGCAAGTGTAGCCTAGGCTAATACGTATAGTGTATAGTGACCATTCGGCTCGTACAGAAGACGAGAATGGTGGGGCTGTATATATACTAGGTAGTTGACCCAAAGAGTAAATGTTGTATATATGTGAATATAATATGGATGTTATGGTTCCAACACTTCGTCCTCGCACACGAACGTGAGCTGTTCGTTCGAGTTGTTCACGTATTCAAAGCAGTCGTCGCATACGCGGACGGGGTCCTTGTACCCCTGCGACGGCAGCGCAATACGGAGACCCGAGTGTTCTGCGCAGAATGAGAATCCACATTGGCGGCAATGGTGTCGTCGAAGGAAGAGGTGGAACTCGGTGTTGCATTCCTGACAGAACAACATCAAACATCACCCAAGTGCATGCATGATGGGTGGTGGCGTACCTTGCAGTGCTTGTCCTTCTTCCAGCGAGCCGCGCCCCGACTGATCATGGACGAGGCAATGGAGAAGCTCGAGTCACTTCGCTTCCGGCCGGACGACGCACTCATGGTCCGGAATCGCTGTTCCACGAGGGCGTTGGCGGCTTGGACGTCGTCGGATGGCGGCGCCAGGCCGTGTTCTCGAAGCATGTCGTCGTAGTTGTAGATGGCTTCGTCTTCTGGGATCGACATGTCCGGGTCGGCGGACAGCGACACGGTGGTCGACGCCCGCATCGTCCAGTCGCCCTTATCCACGACGAATTGGTCGGCGCATTGCCGCGAGCAGCATACGATGGCGTCGACCACCGCAGGGGACACGAGGAAGTTGTTCAGGTACTCAGTGGAACACGCGCGATGGCCTGGCTTGGCGCACATGACACATCGGCCGGACGTGGCCATCGGCCCTGGACACTTGGCAAACTTGCACATCATCTTGGTGAGAATTGCAAAATGATCCCTATATGACATGGGGAGAGTCCGAATTCGGCTAAATAGGCCAACGTTATCAGGCTTTGACCCATTGTAATCTGATGTAGTGCTCCGTATGTTAAGACGACCTACATTCTCATTCTGCCATTAACAATTAGTACCTGGTACCGGTAGGTACTAACTACGTAGTACTTCGAAGTAACAGTTACTTCGATTAATTGAGTTTGGATTATCATTTTTAAGACATTCCTCCGCGAGGGCCGATACTAGAACCACATGTTATGGAACGCTAGAGCGTCAGTCTCGTAACAGTTACTTCGAAGTACAACAGGCAAAGTCAAAAGTTCGTAAAGTTGCCATATTGCAATGGAACACCTACCTACTACACCTTTTTGCAGTTAAGTTGGACGAATGGCCGATATATTTGGCTGTGCGCCCGATATATTTGGTGGTGTGCCCGATATAATAGGCCATGTGCCCGTTTAATTTGGCACACGGATGTCGTGTGCCCGATATATTTGGCGATGTGCCCGATATATTTGGCGATGTGCCCGATATATTTGGCGATGTGCCCGATATAATTCGACGAATGCCCGATATATTTGGTGGTGTGCCCGATATAATTCATCGAGCAGATGGCCCAATTACTTGGGCACACGGCTAATTATATCGGGCACATCGCGAATGCCCGATATACGAATGCCCGATATATTTGGTGGTGTGCCCGATATAATTCATCGGGCAGATGGCCAATTACTTGGGCACACGGCTAACTTAACTGCAAAATGGTGTAGTAGACAGACAGCCACCACAACCGACCGACCATTCACACTGCATATCATGGTTAAAATTAGTCTTGTTAAAAAAGCACAGTTTGGTTTACGCGTCGTAGATCTCGTCTTCGCCAAGGTACATGAGCTGTTCGTTAAAGTTGCTCACGTATTCAAAGCAGTCGTCGCAGACGCGGACAGGGTCCTTGTACCCCTGCGACGGCAGCGCAATCCGCCTTGTCGAGTGCTCAAAGCAAAACGAAAACCCACATTGGCGGCAATGGTGGCGCCTCACAAACAAGTTGAACTCGCAATCGCATTCCTAACATGATCATCAGGATCATCATCATCCTTACTACACACACAGACCTTGCATCGAACGTCCTTGCTCCACCGCGCCACATCTCGCCCCGACAAGGATGTCACACCTGAAAAGCTCGAGTCGCTGCGCTTGCGTGACGACGAGCTCATGGCGCGGAAGCGCTGCTCCATGATGCTTTGGGCTTCTTGAACGTCATCGCTCACTGGCAGCAGCCCATGTTCCTTGAGCATGTCTTCGTAGTTGTACTCGTCCTGGTTTTCAGGAATCGCCACCTCGGGGTCCACCGATAGCGTCCGACTGCGTCCCTTGTGGATCGACGGGGGTCGTACAGACGACGACGGAGGCGTCCCACTGCCGCTGCTGGGCGACTTGGACAATGGCGGCTTGGACAGCACTTGGTTGATTCTTTGGTTATCAAATAAGCTCACGACGTTGTGAATGAGCTCGGAAAACACATGCGCGGGGGGCGGGGGGGGGCGTTGGGGGTTGCTACTTGTGGCATCATCCATCATGCGTTCTTCGTGCAGTTTATCGGCTTGGAACTGCTGAGTCAGGAGCTTCGAGTCTCGGCGGACATAGTGGATGGTCGAGCTCATAGAAGAAGACGAACCAAACGTGTTGGACCGGGACTTGCTCGTGGCAATCATGCTGATGGGCGGCCGGCGTGCCCGGATCATCCGAGATGAAGGCGGAGGACCGACCCCCCCCCTTCCCAGTGATTTCGTCGGCGACGTCGCAAGGTCGTCCCTCGCATCGAAATCGCTGGCTGACCGCACGCGTTCGAGTGTCTTTCGCATCAAGTCGAGCTCAGCTTGCATCTTGCGATTCGCGTCTTCGAGCGCGGCCTTGTCGCCGAGCTCTCTTTCCACTCGCTTGAGCTCCTCTTGCAGTTTGCGCTTGTCATCTTGGAGTGCCTTGACGTTGCGAAAGTCGCTGCGCAACGTCGCGAGCAACCGCCGGGCACGTCGCCGCCGCCAGTGGCATTGCACAGCCACGATGTGACGGCGGGCCGTGGCGTACTGCCGCCGCGCGAGGAACCCCCGCGCCAGTCTCTGCACTTGCACCGCGTGAACATGCTGTCGTCGGGCGTGCACGACCGCCTTGGCGACCATCTGACGGTGCTTGGCCTGCAGCACCACCACCGCGTACCGAAGGTGTTCGAACGCCCGGCGCGCCAGCACTTGGCGGGTCCAACTTTGCAGTGTCACAGACGCCTTGGCCTGCCTGAGATGCTGCAGCCGAGTGTATGCGACATGCTGGCGGAACGCACACTGCACCGACAGCGTCGCATGCTGGAGCCGCCGGTACGCGTGGAAGCATAGAAAGCCCCGCACGAGGCGCTGGGCCTGGACGGCCGACGTCGTGTACACCCGCCGCTTAAGTGTCTCGACGTCTTCAAATGCTTTGCGGCGAAAGAATACCTTGGTCTTGCCAAGGCTAACGTGGGCTGGGTGGTGCTGGGGCGGGCTATTGGTGGTGGCAGTTGAAAGATCGTTCCTATAAGAGTACATAATAATATTAATATATTGTGAATTCGTCGATTCGATAGTGGAGTGGATGAGCAACAGCACACCAAATATATATCATCAGCAGACAATCGATCGACACCAATCAAAACCGAGACAAGTAGCCACTCGTCGACCAAGTATACAAAATCGAATTAGTGTGGGATACTGAAATTAGTGTGACACTGGACGATAGGTATTGCATATAAACAAACGAATCGATTGATAGATTTGGCCAATCAAAAGTCCATAGTGTGGGGATCAGGACAATAAACCCATACTGAAACGCCCTAGACACCCATAGAATGTGTTTCACACACCAACCAAATACTCGTATAGACTACTGCTGTTACGTCAGCGTACCCGTGGGGAGCCGAGAGGGCGCGGCACACATGCAGGAATTCACTCAACACTGGGAACGCGTCGGCTTGCACGAGCTGGGCGACCGCGGGGGTCGTGAGGGGGGTGACAAGGCGCCCATAGTTGGACCGGAATTCCTTGTGGGTGAGCCGGACGGGGAAGCCAGCTCGAGCGACTTTGACTGCTTCGAGGACGCCGCCGCTGCGCAGCTGTTCCACCATGCGCACCCTATCAAAGTGCATGGGCTGGTTGACGTCATTGGGCTTGAGACATCGGACGTAGTGGGGCGCGGTCCCGTCGATCGTCGCGAGTAAGTCGGTCAGTTGGGTCTTGAATTGGTCAGCAACGTTCACCGACCCGATGGTCGAGTTGAGTGCTGACCTTCGCTTGGTGTGTTTGGTCGATGTGTTGTTCTTGGCGGGGTCGTACATATCGGCCAAGATGGAGCTAAGCGAGTTCTGGAGCAACTCGACCACGGATTCCACCAGCGCGTCCTTGTTCTTATCGACGAACCCGTCGACATCATACACGACTGGGCCGGCGTAGTGCACCACCGTGAAGCGGCCATCGCGAACGTCGGCGTTGGTTGCGATGAATATCGGATGGGGCGAGTTGTACTGGTGATCTCCAAATGCCTTGTAATACTTGGCAGCGAGAGCTTTGTCGCTGCCCTGGGGCACCCGACACTCTTGATCGAGCAGTGAAAACAGCCCCATCGGTCGTTTCTCAAACAAGTCGAGGCATGCCACGTTATCTGGGAACGCGATGAACTCCCACGCAATCCCCTCGGCATCGTACAGCTTTTGCTCCGTCTTGAACACGTACGAATTGAACTGCTGCTGAAGGGTTTCATTCGCGTAGTTGATGCACAGCTGCTCGAACGAGTTGACGGCCATGATTTCAAACCCAAAGATATCGAGGAGCCCAATCATCCGGTTATGTTCGTGGTGGTCATCCGTACGATGCGACCGTGGGGTGGGGTTCTCATCGAGGGGGGAAGGGGGGGGATGGATCGAAGTGTTCACTCGGCGCACGAGCCACTCAAAGAGTGACCGATATGCCTCCATCGCCAGTGCATTCCGCGTGTGTTTGGCTTGCGTTAAGCTCAAGCCCATCACAAACACTTCGCCGTGGGTTGTAATAGACCGCTTGGTCAGGGCTGACGTGAGTTGCTTGGCGGGTACTTGCAGTAGCTTGGCGGCGGCGGCCACGGCGGTGGCGGACGACGGCGCCACGGTCGCGCACCGCATCGCCGGATCAAAGTTGTCATCCGTCGACTCGAACGCGATGTTGCCGACATGAAGAATGCCCACGACCAGCGCCAGCACGTCCTCAACATCGCCCGACGACATGCCCGTGTCCAGCATAGCTTGAATCGTGATTGGGAACTGGTCAATGTCCAACACGTTATCCCGCCGCGCCATGCACCCGCTCTGGTTGACAAAGTCGTACGACTGAAGCTCCAGGACGTGCCAATCGGTTGCTTTCTTGCGCAGGTCGAACGCTACCGGCAGCGGCGGCAGCTTCTTCACCTGCTTTTTTGGCGGCAAATTCAGCTCCAGCACCGTCGACACGAGCTCGTAAAAAATGTGGAAGTTGCGCTCGTGGCAAGCTTGGGTTACCACGCGAACCTTTTCTAATAAATACGTGCGGACCTTGGCACCAATGATCTTGGCGTGGTGGAATCGCACTATATATACATATACACCGCCAGAATCAACTTTAGCCTATGTACGACTTATACGACGGTACACGATCTATTAAGAGTACATATATTGTGCATTTTACTATTAAAAAAAAAAGATCCAAAAATGTCTGATTGGTTGCATCAACAACCAACGCCACCAATCAAACGGCCGGGACCGTCGACAAATAGGACATCAAACATGTATTTTTGTGATTGAATGGCACCATTCATTGTTTTTAGCCAATCAGAATGCATCCTTCATTCTTTTTAGCCAATCATCACCCAACATTGGCAAATGTGATTGAAAGGCACAATATATATATATAGATATATATATACACAAGGGACGACACCATCGACAGTCAAACTAGGAACCTACTTCCCCGTGGTTTTTCTGAACGGTGGATGGTGTCGACCCCAAGACATTTCGATTGAAATACAGGTCACGCCTCATATAACAAAAGTAGCACAACCAACTACTACCCATCGTACATTGTGGATAAGAGGTATAACAATTGGAGGCCATCATGTCGACGACAAATGTGAACCCAATACACTGTGCATACCTTCGATGAACTTGCCAAACCGGCTCGAGTTGTCATTGCGCACGGTGCGGGCGTTCCCAAACGCCTCCAGGACGGGGTTTGTCTGTAGCACTTGGGTTTCGATGCTGTTTTGCGCGGACGAGTTGCCGCCATTGGACATGTTGGCGAGGTAGCTCATGATGATCTTGGTCGCTTCTGTCTTTCCCGCGCCGCTTTCCCCTGAGATCAAGATGGCCTGGTCGCGGTTGTGGCGCGTCATGTCGACGAACGCGCGCTTTCCAATCGTGTACAAATGTGGCGGGAGCACGTCCTCAAAGAATTTGTTGTCGGGCGAGGCGTCGTACTGCGCCATGGTCGTGTCCTCGTACAGGGGCAGCCGCTTGAACGGGTTGATGGACAGCACAATGTCCCCGATCGTCGTGTAGATGGCATCGTTGTCGTATCGACTCGACAGCGCTTGCAGGATGGACGCTTCGTGCAAGTGCGGCAGCGTGATCAAGTCCTCGTTCCGTTCTTCTTCGTCTAGTCGGCTGTTCCGCAGAAGGACGTTCGTTGTCACCCCGTCGCGATCCTTGGTCAGTTCAATCGTCTCTGTTGTCGTGAGATGTGGCCGCTGAACGATGAGTCGGTCGTCATGAGGGTGGCCCACCACTGTCGCCGCCGTCCAGATGTCCTTTGGGTCGGCAATCCAAACGTCCGCGCCAGTCTCCATTCTCTGTTGCTGCTGGTGACGATGCTACCTGCTTCTATTAATAGGCTCGCCTGCCTGCCTGCCTGCCTGCCTGATGTCTCGACGCAGCGCGATACTTCCGCTGCTGCCGTTGGCGTCAATGATGTTGTGTTGAGGCAGGCATCCCCATATGATGAGCCCCTTTTTTCAACGACTTCTTTTTTCAAATATATTTTTCACTTGGGTTCAGTATACCCATCTGCATTTTTCTGCCTATTTTTAGGTCCGTATGAACGGTTACTGCCTTGCTCGCACTTTGTCGGGACGGGTATCCACCCAAACCGTACTTAATAGAGTACATCGCAATCATTCACGCCATGTGTTCAGTTAAGTACGTCCATCAAACTTGCGTCCATTCGTAGAGCTGCTTACCAGACGTCCATGTTGCCAGCAGGTTCAGTGCAATGCTGTCACTCACGATGGTATTCACCATGCTTTGTATCTAGGAACATGTACTGTATCCCGTTAACTATTCGTATAACGTTACTACAGTACGTAGTAGTAATTAGAATGAAGTCACGAGATCAATGATCTCTTGACGTCACTCTACTAATTACTATACGAATACACGTCAATGATGTTCTCAGAAAGGTTGTTCCCTGCTGGTGGGGAATAACTACACTATTCCCGCCACACAGTAGCGACCAGTGTAAGAGGATGATCGCGTAACAGCCTCATCAAGCAGCAGACTCATGTGCCACATCGAGCCCTCTCCCCCCGCAGAGATTGACGACGCTGGTTTTTTGTGGCCACAGGCTTTCCGTGTCGATTTGGTGGTTGCAGGCAGTCGACAAGACATTTGAGGCCAGTGATAAACTGACACGACAGAACAAGGAGTGGCCGTAGTAGTGGATGCAGTAAGAATGACCCCGACCAAGATGGCTTGGTCCTACTTGGATGTGCTGGGGGAATGTTCTGGATACATGGTCGAGCCGCAAAATAGTACGAGTGTTTGTCGAGGGTATGTACATAATAGTATTCACCAGCATGTCAATCAGCTGAAACTGCCCCGTTGGACTGTAACGTTACCCCAACCACAGTCATTAGTTGTAGACTTAGTCACGACGTTACAGCAAGTCATGTCCAACGAGATGTGCCCGACTGACAGCTCAACTGTGTCGGTACTGCAGCTGACTGGTACATAAGTTGGCGTTAAAAGTCGTAGTACAAGGTTGTTAGTTTGGAAGTGTGCCGCACTGTATGCCGACACTTTATGTGTACATTAATAGTCCTGACGTTAGTATTAATACTACGTAATAGTACTATTAATATTACCGGTATTAATAATTCATACTATTGATATTATACCTGGTACTGTAACGTTAGTATAACGTTGGAACATCGGTTATGGCACCACCGTTACAGGTCATGCAGTTAAAGCGAAACTGCCGACGCTTCGGTTGTTGGCGCGTGCCACAGTGCAAGCATTAGTACCATGTCCAAGAAAGCAGTGCTCGTTGCTGCGTCGTCGTCGCTCTCTCCACTTCCCCATGACACCCACCTCGCTCCGTTTGGCCACGTAGTTGTTGTCCCCACGACCACCCCCGTCCTCCGACCAACGGACTCGGCCATGTCCCGACTGGAAGCGTTAGAATCTGTCGCGGGGTTTGTGTATTTGGTATTCACGGTCGTGTGGGGTGGCATGTACGTAATAATGCTCGAGCCGAGCTTGGCCAACGACATGTGGTGGCCGCATTTCAACTCGACAGGCCCCCAAACGTACCTGGGCGACCTCTGCAGCCGCCACTTGGCAAACGCACCCAACCACGTGGCGTTCGACTTGTTTTCCAAGCACAACGCAATCCTGAAAGACTACAGCCCGGCAGCGACGACGATGGAGCTGAGCGCAGTGTACCCCCGTATGCTCATGATGCAGTCGACCACCGACCTCCCCGACGTGATTGCTGGCATGCACTTGACGTCGCTAACCAACAACGTTCGCATGTACACGCAGTATTGCTGGGCAGACTTTGACAAGCGCTTCGAGTTGGCGCACACGGCGCTCCGGCAGGCGCGGTGTCTGAAGAACGACGGCGACAACGCCGCCGTGCACCTCGAAGCGATGCTGCGAAACGTCGAGTGGTCCGCCATGGTCAATACGTTCGGGGGCATCGACGGTGTATTTGACGTTGTGGTTGCCTCTGGTGTGCGCGAATTTCCGGGCGGCGCGGCCTGGCTCGTGTCTGTGCAAAATGCATTTGTGGACATCCCCACCGAAGTAACGTACTGGCTGAGCAAGGGCGTGCCGAGGTGGCAGCTCTTGTGGCACAACGCGTGGCAACCGGGCGTTGACGAGACCATCACCGTGGCGAACGCACTCGGCATGCAGCAAAACGTCGCCGTCAAAAAGATGCCGTATCTCCACCGGGGCTCGGCGTGGACGTCTATTGCCCTGTACTACGGGTTCTGGAACGAACTCAACTATGGGTACTTGGCCAAGTACTCACTCGTCCGCGGGTCCTCGACCAGGTTAGCCGTCAACGACTCGAAATTTCAAGGGTATGGTGTGGCGTCCCCCACTACCGCCAGCGCCGCGTGGCAGTCGCTGTTTGGCCCGTACGGGTCGATCGATACAAAGTATGTCGACGTGCCACCGGCCCTGCTGACGGCGGTGACGGGGGTCCGGGATGCGTGGACGCTGCTCCTGCTCGCCGATCCGTCCCTGCTACCCCCTGCGTCCGTCCTATCGACGTACGTGGTAAACCCGGTGCCGCCATCGTGGCGCCAACCGCCCAACTTTGTGTTTGTCGGGGGGAATCCCATGTGCATATCGGCAAAACCCCAAGTCGTCCCGCAAGAAAGCTTTGGCTTCTACGACGTATGCATGCCTAAAAGTGTAGCGTTGTCTGTGACATTGACGCCGTTCAGTGCCGCGTTCGCGCTCCTTGGCCTTGGGATGCTGACTCGCGATCAGCTTCCGGCGACGGTGTACGCCGTGTGTTCGCTGTGCGATGCCACGGCCGGCGCATGTCGTGACGCCCTTCGCGACGCCTCCGCCTTGTACCATGCGTTGAATACACTTTATCCTGACCTCGTCGATGTCGTTCGCACTGCGGCGGACGACGTGGCCAACATCAGCCTCGTACAAGTCGGGCTCAACACGTCCAACCAGACAACGACGATCCTGCGCCAGCCACTCGTGCAAGCCAACGACCTGTGGACATTCTTTGGGTGGGTGCAATTGTACGACTGGGTGCACCAAGCCCGCGAAGTGGTGCGCTTCGAAGGCGACAAGGGCACCGCCACCGTCATGTCCCGCAGCTACGACTCGCAGTCGTTTGCCCCCAATAGCTTGGAAATTCCCCAGAGCGCCGGGCTGTACTTTAAGTACCTCACCACGTACATCACGGTCGTGTTTGGGTTGGTGGCTGCGATCATGGTCGCGTTCGGCGCCGGGACGTCTTTTCACGTGTTGGGACGAAACCTCTTTCGGTTCAATCGGGTCGTGGGGTCGGTGTGGGTCGGGCGCATCTTCCTCTTCGTGCGCGGCATGACCGCCGTCGTGTTACTCAGCACGTCCAACATTTACTTTGTCACAGATCACGGGTTTGCGTCGCTGCAGTGGGCCCCGTACACTTTCGTCGAAGCCGTCGTCATCTCGGGGGAGGCGACGTGGGTAGTGTACGTCCTCCAGGACTTTTTAGTCGTGTTCGTGGACGACTACTCTTACTACGCCGCGCCTGTGAGCAGTAGCCTCGCGTGGGGACTGGTATTTGTGCAGGAGATCGTCTCGCCCAACAAGGCGTCAATGAACGTCGAACGGCAGTGCACGACGCTCATCATGGCCAAGCAGATCGTGTGCAACAGCGGCCACATCATTCTCGGTCAGTTCCACAGAGTCACGACCATCTTGGCGATCCAGGGGGGGTGCACACTGGGCGTTTATGTCATGGCGTGGATGTGGCGGTGGAAGCGGCACGTCCCCCCCGTCATGACGCTGTTCATTTCAGGGCCCGCCGAGTCGTACTTGGACTTCGTTTCGCACAGCGGCCCCCACGACATTGTCGCCAAGGCGGACGAGGAGGGGGGACTCACGAGCTTTGACAAGGTGTCGTGCATCATGTGTGGCTTGCTTACGTTTCGCGTTGGCCGCACCCCGTTCGTGTTTGACTTGAAGGCGTGGATGCTGATCCGGCAGCGCAAATCCGAGGTCGCGACGAGCAAGAAGCACGTGTGTGCCTTTCGGGGTCCGTCAATGATTGACCTCCGCCCGTCGTCGTCGCCGCCACCAACGTCGGTCTGGAACTCGCTCGACAAACTTCACCGCGTGGTCGCATTCGCTGGCCTGATGTACATGGTGTCGTCGTTGGCCGGCAGCATCGTGTACATTGCGTCTACGGAACGCAACATGGCAAACGACTTTTGGTGGGCCAACTTCAACGCGTCGGGGGCCCATGCGTACTTGGGCAACTGGTTTTCCAAGCAGCTTCTATTCCACCCGCACAACTTTACCGGTGTGCTGGATGACGTCAAGCACAGCGACTACATTCGGTACAACACGACCAGCACATTCATCTCGGTGAGTCCGTTGTATGCAAAGCTCGTGCAATATCACGAAGTCAACTCGATCGAACATGCGATCCATGGCCTGCGGATCATGGACGCGTGCGAGGTGCCGTCAATCATGACACAGTACTGCTGGCTGGACTTGAAGCGCCAGTTTCCGATGGCCAACTCGGGCGCTCGCCAACGCCGCTGCGACGGGTACAAACGTAATGGCGCCGTATACTTGGAGTCTGCGTTGCGCAACATCCCATGGGAGTCCGCCACAGCGTGCTGGTGGGCGAGTTCGTTTGACATTGCCATTGGAAACGACTTGCGGCAATCTGCACAAGGCATGGCGTGGCTGGACGCGGTCAAGTCTGCCCGTACTACGTTCACGTTACATGACGAAGCCGCGCTTTGGCGGTCGGTGGGCATCGAGCACTACACGACCCAGTACCAAAACTTCAAAAAGCTGGGCGTTGTCGAGCGATTTCACATCCAAAACGCGTTCGGGATTGCATACCCCCTGACAATCCAAGCGTCGAAACCAGTGTACCAAATGGGCATGGAAACATCCCTCAAGCTATATTGGACACTAGCCAAGGATCTCGCCACCGTGACGAGTGCGTCGTCGTCCATTTTCGGCACGAGTCTGCTCGCGTCCAGCGCCAACTTTTCGTTTATGAACACGTCGTTGGAGACGGTTCTAACGTCGGCGTTGGTGCTGAGCCAGCCGTTGGATCCGACGCTCGCCGCCTTTCGACGCGCGGTGGGCCCGTTCGGGTCTATTGATGCCATCCACATCCCTTGTCCTGCCGCGTTAGCCCACCTGTACCAGTTTGCGTCCGAAGCCACCGCCGCGGTGATCGCCAACGACGACGGAGCGCAGCGCGCGTTTGCTAACCTCCCCCAAGCTACTACTTGGCTGCCGTGTCCACCCGAGTGGCTCAACATCAGTCGGTACCCCGGCACTGTCATGTGCCCCAAGTCTACGTCAACCACAAGTACGTCCATCTTGTCGCTGTGGGTCGACGGGGGGTGCAGCTCCCTCACCGAATCCGTGTATCCGACCCCCATGACGAGCTTGGTCGCGACGTTAGCGGCGAATTCCACAGACGTGAACCGGACGTGCCAGAGTGACATGCGCACCCCCGCCACGTGCCGGAAACTGCTGACCCAAGTCGCTCAGTTTCAAGCGCTGTATTGGAACCACAACGAGGACGGCGTGTTGGGTGGAATAGCGACATGGGCGCGCCTGGCCAAAGCCAGCATCGCGGCCCTGAACGTGTCATTTCTCCAGTTCAAGGCCCCCGAAGGAACGATCCTGACGCTAGGGCTGTTTGACAACCCCTCGTTTGAGTTCTTCGCGTGGGGGTATGCGTTTGAGTGGCTCACGGGGACGCGGGAGGTGGTGTCCTTTGAGGGGGACAACGACAAACTCGTGCTCTTGAGCTCCGTCAGCGTCATGCTGTCGTCGCCCCCCAACCCCCTCGAGATCCCCGCCAACGTCGCGCTCTATTTTCGAGGGTCGGTGGTGTACATCACGGCCATGTTGGCGTTTGTGGCGGTGCTGGCGACAGCGTTTATTATGGCCAGCGGGGGGCACATTGAGGGCCTCAACATGCTCGAGATGAACCGCGTGGGGGGGATTGTCTGGTCCGGGCGGCCGCTATTGTTTCTCCGCAGCATCGTTGCCATCTGCCTGCTGAGCACGGCGCCGCTGGAGCTGACGCAGCTGGGGGCGTTAGGAGCTATGACCATGTTTATCTCCAACCAGCTCACGTGGTACAAACTGGTGCTCGCGGCAGGCGAAGTCGGGTGGTTCGTGTTTGTCGTGACTGACGTCCTCATTATCTTCACGCAGGCGTACACGACGACGTACGCCGTCATGTGCGGCATCTTGGTGTGGCTCGTCGCCGTCATCTTCACCATGGCGGTGCCCGTGGCGCATTCGGTCTCTGTCCATCGATCTTGTATCATCCTAAGCATGGACTTCCAGTCCGAGTGCACCGCCGGCACAGTGTACGTCGGCAGCGTCGGCCGATTCACCCAATTGGTGGTAATGTCGTTGGCGAGTATGGCGCTGTGCTACGCCGTCGAGAGGCTCCGCCGTCCGCGCTTGAAGGACACGAGACGACACATGTCGATGCTGCTGTCCACGAGCAGCAGGTACCTCTTTGCGCTCGACAAGTGGCAGTACAACAACTGCTACTACCTAGACAAGGCGTCCGCTGTCATCACGGGCGTGCTGTGCGTGGAGCGACAGGGGCAGTTTTACGTACTCGACATCAAGCTGTGGCGCTTGTTTGTGCTCCAAGTGCCCGCGGAATACCGACCCCCTCCCGACCACCCCATGCACGAACGGTCGTACTTTGCCTTTCCATTGATCGGCACCGGCATCGACCGCGACAGCAACGACGTGCTGTCCCGCGTGGGGAGGTGACCGCCCACCTCGCGATAACGTGTATGTGTGGTGGCTCCTTGTCCTATGTACGCACGTTGTATGTTTGGTTGAGGTTTGGCCAGCTATAAACAGACATGGTACATCAATCCGTAGTAACGTTACCGTCACTGGTGTGGTCCGTTCTCCAGTGATTGGGTAGTACCTGTGAAGACCCAGTTGGCTGTAGGGATGCCTACTACCAACTCCAGCACCATCGTGTTATCGAGCCATCGGACTTCAGCTCTCACAAGTGTAGTTCTATCTAACACACAAAGTGGAAAAACGAGCACATATGGCTGCCGCATTGCCCAACGCAATAGACTTTATTCCCCGATGCCAGACTGTATTATTGCAAAGACAAAGAAGCATCTACGGCGGCGAATTCGAGGGCGGCGATCTCATCCTTGGGTTTGGTTCCGTCCACGATCAAGATATTGGACGTGGCCTCAAACGTCGCGAGGACGGTGCCGCAGTTGTCGTGGTACTTGGCCAGCCGATTACGAATCGTGAGCTCCGTGTCGTCGGATCGCTGGACGACTTTGTCGTGGAGTTCCGGCGGCGGTGGGTTGAACGTCAAGTGGTATGTTTTGCCTGTGTCCAGGTCCACTCGTCGGCCAGAAATACGCGTAACGACCTCGTCGTCGGCAACGTCCAACACGATCACGAGAGTGGGCACGATCTGGTGTGCCAGCATCGCCTCGGCTTGGACGCGTGTGCGGGGGAAGCCGTCGAGGAGCCAGCCCTTGGTGGCGCAATCCTGTTCTTCCAAGCGATGGAGGATCACGCGAATGATCACGTCGTCTGGAACCAGTTCACCAGCGTCCATGAAGCTCTTTGCATGCAAGCCGATTTCGGTCCCTGCCTGAATCGACGTCCGGAGCATGTCGCCTGTGGAAAGATGCACGATGCCGTACTTGTCCACGAGCAGTTCGCATTGGGTACCCTTGCCACCGGCGGGAGGGCCGCAGATGACAATTCTGGGAGGCGCCATCGATATCACGAGCACAACGCAAAAAAAAAGAGATCTTTTAGTCCTGAATTCCCAATACCGGTCAAACTATGAATAAACATTTCTGACAATGTTATTTTGGGCGATACATAGTTCACAATATCCTTTTGTACTGTACGTACACATATGATGCTAGTACAGTCAGTATACGTATAACGAACGCTATGTAACGCACATTTCAGTGCCAGCATCACCTTCACATGCGCTAGGTGATGGAATCATTGCCACGTCCAGTAATGCGGAACGGCGTTCGGTATGTAGTTGTCGCCCACGTTGCAGCACTGGTACTGTATCGCCGAGGCATGAGGCAAACTCCAAACCCCAGCATCAACGTTAGCAGTTAGAAGTAGAGATAATTAGGTAGAACCTATCACTTTCTTCGTGTGGAAGGAAGAGGAGCAAAGTCGCGTTAAATTAATCTAGTTGGTGGTCATACTGGGATTCGATTGTCCAGTGGGTTGCGCGACGTTGATTAGCCCGAGAACATGACCGCAGGCGGAATTTGGTCCATGGCGGATGCCTTCTGATCAACGTTCTTCGATGGCTGGAGGGACGTCGAGAACGGGAAATGTGGCAGGTTGAAGCAGAAGCATGGTGGGGCCGATGCCTTGGTTGCGGTAGCCGCAGGTCGGGAAGTTTTCCGTGACAGGAGGCGCGGGGCTAGCAACATGGTTGTGATTGTTTCGATTGCTGGGAAATGGGAAGTGGCAGTGTGCATCCGAGTCAAAGGGCACATCGTTCATAGCCAGCTAAAGCTGCACAGACAGGTGGGATCAGGTTGGCGTTGGTTGCGTGTGATCGCCCTAGTTTCAGTTTTGCCTTTACCAATTGGGCCGAAATTCGACTTGATTTAGGCTCGGACAAGGGCCAAGGACACTACCAATGATCTTTGTGTTTGAAGGTAGAATGTAAGATTAAGTATCCTAACGCGTGTTATTATCACTCTAAATGTAAATGCATAGATTCACGGTTTTAGTTAGTGCTTAACTGTTTGAATTGCACAACCTGACATTGGGTTGTAGAATAACTTTGTCGTCCACATCCGTGTTTACCATCCTGACCAATCAAATCGTTGCATTTTAACCACACATAAATCAGCAGATATTCACATAAATGACTCCCTTGCGAATTTTTGAAGTTTTGTTACTGGTATTGAATTATTTAGGGACAATTTACAAATGTGAAGTAATTTCTTACTTTCTACCACTGCCACAGCCTTCGCTTAGCAAAGCAGGTCGTCGAGGCCTTGGTGGTCGTAGTCATCGAACTCCGCATTGCACTTTGCACACTCAGCGCCGTACGATTTGTTGACGTGAAAACACTCGGCACAACGCCACTCGTTCGAAACGCACACTTCGTTTGACGTCTGAACAATGGGGACCGTTGATTTCAACGCAACGGTGAAGAACGCATGGAGCTTCTTCGAAATCACTTGGATCACTCGGGCCATCTTGATTGTTCTTTGTGTGGTGAAATTGAAAATGAGACTGAAGGGGGATGCATTGCCTTGCGAGTACGATCGTATTAACGCGCTGTGGGATCGTACACTGTTGGATGTATTCAAACTTCAAATTCACCCGCTCGGACGGGATTTACCATTGCATGACAACCTGAACAATGTTTTGCGAAATTCGAAGTGAGTGCCGCTACCCTAAGCTTAACGCTATCCTAGGAATGGGAAAATATTTGCATGTCTGAACGCTCCTATAACATTACTTCGGTATACGAAGTATACCGGTATGTTTAAGCCTTGAGCGCGAACCCAATCGGCAAGATCGTACTTCTGGATTAACACATAGCACATTCAATCACGCACGAAGAACTCTGCAAGTAACGTTATTGTCAAATCAATTCGAAAGCCTCTGCAGAATCGAATGAATCGATTAAAGAACCGCCTGAGCCAATCAAATAACGTCATGTCGAATTTCAACCAATCCAAAAGCTTGATACCACCGCATTGGGCAAAACCACATATATACTAATCGTTGTAAAGGATAGTGTGTACAAGATTAAATAGGATCAACTAGATTCGAAAGATTTTGGCGAAATGACTCTCGAGTCCAAATATACTATAGTATAAGTTTTACTTACTGTTAGTAAGTTTATCGACGGATTTGGATCTGTACCCTTAGTTTCAGGTTGGCAAACCAAATGCACTGATTATTCACGCGAATGACCACGCGCAGAATTCACGCCCTTGATTGGTCAGAGCTTTCGCAAATATTTGGAGTACAGTCCTGATGTAAACTATAGACGCACGTGAATTTTTGACATTTCTCAAAACTTATTTCGATTTGAAGCTCACTGATTTGATATGATACTTTATTTAAGTTTCGAAATACATTGTTGGTGACAAAACTTTAAAATTCGAAGTACTATTTTTGAAAATTACAAAAAACCATTTTTCAGGGTGATGCAAATTATAGACGCACTTTTTCA